TATACCAAAATTACTTCTAATTCATTGAAACTCAATTCAACTCCAATTTCATGATTTACACCCCAATTTAGCTCAATTTCATCATTTAACCAATTTTAACCATAATTTCAATTTTGACCCCAATTTTGACTCGCCACCACCGGAGACCGCCGGTCGCCGCCGTTGACCGCCGGTCTCCGACGTTGATTTTTTTCTTTTTTTTTATAATTTTGTTTTTTCTTAAAAAAAAATATTTTAATTAATATTACTGTCTTGGCTGCTAAATTACTGTCTCCATCAGTTAGTTAACTGTCGGAGACAGTAATTTAACTATTAATTGACTTTTTTTTCTTCAAAAATATTTTAATTAATATTACTGTCTTTGCTGCTAAATTACTGTCTCCAGCAGTTATTTAACTGTCGGAGACAGTAATTTAACTGTTAATTGACTTTTTTTTAATATTTTAATTAATATTACTGTATTCGTTGCTAAATTACTGTCTCCAGCAGTTATTTAACTGTCGGAGACAGTAATTTAACTGTTAATTGACTTTTTTATTCTTAAAACAAATATTTTTAATTAATATTACTGTATTCGTTGCTAAATTGCTGTCTCCAGCAGTTATTTAACTGTCGGAGACAGTAATTTAACTGTTAATTAACTCTTTTTTTTTTTTGAAATTTTCTTTCTCAAAAAAAATTATTTTAATTAATATTACTGCATTAGCTGCTAAATTACTGTCTCCAACAGTAATTTAACTGTCTTAGACCATAATATTAATAATTTTACTGTTTGGGAAAATAATATTCATAATATTACTGTCCCAAATAATAATATTACTGTCTGAGACAGTAATTTAGTAGTCAAGACAGTAATATTAATTAAAATATTTTTTTCTAAGAAAAAAAAAAAATAAAGTCAACGTCGGAGACCGGCGGTCAACGGTTGTTGACCGGCCGGAAAAAAATTTCAGGAAAAAAAAATCAACGCCGGAATCTCGTTAGAAAAAAAATTATTTTCTGAAAAAAAAAATATTTTGGAGTTTAATGTGATATATTTGTTTAAATCCGGGGTCAATGTGTAATATTAAGGAAGTTATAACATAATAGATGGAATTGATAAAAATTATATTATGGAGGGTATTTTAGACTAAAGACATGGGGATAGGTTTAATTAAGAGACTGTTGTTTTTTGGATTAATGTGCATTTAAGTCCATGTGATGGGCTTGCCATTCGCCCAAAAAAAAAACCCCAAATGTACATTCATTCTCCAACCCATCTTTTTCACTGTCCCCAAATATATCCAGCAATTTCTTGATTGGTAGAACACTGACTCAATCGCCGGAAAACAAAACATTGCCCTCGCCAGAGGCTCACAACAATCGAATTTTAGCAGTACTCTTCGAGATCTTCCCCTTTCAACAGCGTACCCCACCGTACCCCGACCTTCTCTGCCCTATCAATCATCTTATGTGCGCCACCATCTTAACCGAGGTCAACCCATTTGGAGCAGAAAATCACGTGAAGAAAGGAGTGGACCTTCGAGATTTTTTTGTCCCAAAAACAAATTGGGAGTTCTCTCGGAAGATTTCTGAAATTTCAGTGTATACTCTGAGCATTGTTTTTGAACTTTTGGCTTTTTTGGGTTCCAGGAAAAAGCTTAAAGCTCAATTCTTGCAAAATATTCGACCTTTTTTTTTTTGGTTTGATACAGGAAAGAGCCTGAAGCTCAGAATGTCAGTTGGTTTATATTTTTTTGTTTTCTTGCTGGAGAAACATGAAGGGAATGGTCCGACGAAAAATAATATGTCGAAAAAACGGCCGGAAAATAAAATATATGATGGTCTATGTCCGGCAAAAGGGTTCCGTCGGGAAGCATTTTGTGTGTTGTGCGTGAAAATGCTTGAGAGTTTGATGGGGATGAGATGATTTGGAGAGAGGGCATTTTTTAAATTGGCAAGGATTGAATTAAAAATTCTGAAAGTTTCATTTTGGGTTACTAAAATTTGGGGCTAATGTGTATTTTTTTATTTTATTTACAGGGTATTTAGGTCTTTTCAGATCAAAACACACACACTCAGCTGCACAATCCACGCGTGCAGAACACGATAAGCCGTTAGGGGGCTTATTGGCTTTGAGTAACTTCATAGGTGAGTCTTTGCTAATTTTTTTAACACCGAGAATTTTTTTGACAATTAGAGGTTACACAGGAGTAGTTATTGCAAAAAACCCTTTTTTAATTCATTAAAGATGACTGATTCTTTTTATTTTTAAGGGGTTAATGTTTACATAAATGGGGTTTATTAATTATTGCAGGGATTTTTTCAACACGATCCCCAAAACCTTTTCAAGAAATTATTAAGATAAACTCTCGGTTGGTAGCTCCTCGTATAAGAACATATTTGAAGTAACATTACACTTTTGACCGTCTTACATGTACCCGAAACTCGAAATTTTGGGCTAAATGAACCCGAAAGTGCAAAACAAGAAGACGATCGAAAGCTCAAAAGCTCCATAAACGGAGTCTACTTCAGGAGCAATGTCGTATTCTTCACACGTCCAATTGTATCTCGAGTAATCATCCCACTTTTGTATTCAAACATATCGACACGGTAAACATGCATGAATAAGGTCGCCGCGTAATACTCACAAAGTAAAAAATCTTCTTCAATTCCAATATTGTCACCGCATATATATCATGCTCACTAGTGAAGCAAGGATTCTGAGTCTGCGAAGGCCGAATGCATTAATTCCTTTTTAGGGGGGGTCGATAATGCTAAAATACACAAAAACAAATCTCTATATAAAATACATGCGCCCCATTTCCTATGTTCGCTCCGCCACTGCATGGATACATATAAACATTTTTTTCTGAAACACAAATGATATGTCATGAACAACAATCCATTTAAGTTCAAACGCTGATGAAGATTGAACTATATATATATACGTATTCATGAACCAAATTAAGCCTTTGAAACTATAATGAATTAATAATTAATTTATTTCGTATGTAATGCTGATAGAAAGGGAGCCACAGAATTGTGAATTTATAGGCTTTTCGGCCGGAAATTAAACCTTTTGTTATTGTTCAATGTGTGCTTTAAATGTTAGACGTTACAAAATCTCTTCACGTGTTTATATATTTATTATTTATTTATTTATTGCTTTTTTTGGTGTTAAAATCATAATCATTGCAGTAAAGTTGCACTTTTTTGGTTGGATATTTTCCCTTGTTGATTCTATAATATTTGAAAAAAAATCATCATGTCTTTAATTTGTGATCATCTCTATTCATTAAATTCATATTTTTTTTAATCGTGCAGAATTATTTAAAACCTATTTTTTTAATCTAATGAATTTATTTATTACACAACTGTTATTAAAAATTAGAGTCAATAGAATTGTTCTTCAAAGGTTTTTTCAATTAATTATTTTTTCAAGAGAATTCTAGTATTAATATGAATTAAATATGGTGTATAACAAATTCATTAATTAGAAATAAAAAAGTAAAAGAAAAAAAGATTACTAAACCCCTAAAAATTTTAAAGCATAATACAGTACTTAAACCTCTATAAATTAATATAGTTTGGACCATCAAAATCTTATTAATTTAGCGAAATATTAAATTATCGATAATTTAATAATTATTAGTTATACATTAATTAATGACTTATTAATATATGAAATTATTTTTATTATTATTGTCAATAATACATTTTTTTTAATTTTTTTACATGTACATTATTCATTGTACCATTAGTTCAATGCACTATAGAACCCATTTCATGAATGGAAGTGAGGGAAGATATTGATAGTAAACCAAACGTTATAACCATGTTAACAAAAGTGAGGGACGAGATTGATGGTAATGTGAACTTCAACAAGAAACAAACGATAATTAGTTATATTTTATAAGCCTTCATAGATCAATAAAATATGTATTGTACCATGTAATTTAAAAATTATTTTTATGTGTTATTAATTTATATATTATGGGGCTTCTTAAAATTTTCGATTGTGTATTATCTTATAAATTTAGCGAATTATTAATTTAGCACGTTGTCCCAGAGTCGAGACCGGAAAATTTTATTATTTAAGCAAAGTTATTATTTTATCGATCATTAATTTATCAAGTTTGTACTGTATTGAAAATTAAAATGAAAATTGAAAACATTATTGCAAATGCCAAATAGGAAATTATTTAATGAAATTGCCTAAATTATATTCAAATTTTGTAATTTTTGCAATTAAATATCTAATGGTAAGCCTTAAATATCTTGTAATTTTTTCAATTAGATATGAATAGGTGTGAAAGTCGGATGGATCGGATCTCAATTAGCATTTTCGGAAAATTTCCAAAAAAAATCGGAAGTACAAAATCGATTCCAATTCCAATTCCAAAATTTTCGGAATCTAAAAATTCATTCTAATTCCAAAAGGCCCGGAAATTTCGGAATTTCGGAAAAAAATCGGAAATCACATAAGCTTTCAAAATTTCAAAACTTAGCCGAAATTTTCTAAAATGGTCATAATTTCTCGAAAATAAGAGCATCCACGTCGATAAAAGTAAAACTAATATCTATTAAATTTCAGTTCAAAAAATAAATAAAAATAAACACAACATAATATCCAATAAAACTTCTAACAACAATTCATTATGTCAAAATCCTAAAACAAAACCTATAGGTGTAGTTTTCGGAAACTAAGTATTATATAATATATACTATTTATAGGTGTATTTTCGGAAAAAAATCGGAATTAATTTCGGAATTAAATCGGATCGGAAATCGAAAATTCCAAATTTATTTTATATAATTCCAATTCCAATCCAAAAAAATCGGAAAATTTCGGAAATCGGAATTTCGGAAGTCGGAATGAAAAAGATTGTTCAAAAATCGAAATTTTTCGGATCGGAACCAACGGAAATTGAAAAATCCGTTCCAACTTGCACCCCTAGATATGAATATGTACTTATTGGTAAATAGCTCCCTAAATTTTTCAGTTGCTATGGATTTAGAAATCGCAGCTTGCAAACACAACCTAAGCAAGCAACCATGGCATCCTACTCTTCAAATTACCTCCGCTTACTTTCTTACACTAAACTCCTCACTTCTCACGTCAACAATGGCCGCCACCACCAAGCCCTCTCTCTCTTCCAACACATCCATTCTTCTCTCTCCCAATGCTTAGACCCCTTTATTTTCCCACTCGCCCTCAAGTCTTCCTCCTTCCTCCGCCGCCCCGACATCGGCGCGTCCATCCACGCTCTCGCCGTCAAGTCCTCCTTCGTCAACAGCCCTTTCGTCGCCTGCGGCCTGGTCGACCTGTACGGCAAATGCGTCTCCATTTTCTCTGCCCGCCAAGTGTTCGACGAAATTCCCGAACGAAATGTCGTCGTTTGGAACTCGATGATCTCTCTGTACACCCGTTCCAAAGATATGCAGAGCGCTCTCAACCTCTTCAATGCGATGGATTTTCCGCCGAATGCATCCACCTTCAATACAATCATCATGGGGTTTTCGGAAATGGAAGACGGGCTTTTCGATACCCTCAAATTCTACAGGAAAATGCAGGAAACGAATATACAGCCAAATTTAATCACTCTCTTAGGATTATTACGCGCTTTTGTAAGCGTTTCAGCGTTGCATTTAATCAAAGAAATGCACGCATTCTCGATAAGAACCGATATCGATCCAAATTCGCACTTGAGCAGCGGCCTAGTGGAGGCGTACGGGCGGTGCGGGTGCCTTCAGAAAGCCCGTTTCGTATTCGATAGTATAAAACAAAAGGACGTAGTTGCATGGAGCAGCCTTATATCGGCCTACGCACTGCACGGACAAGCAGGAAAAGCACTTGAGACGTTCGAACAAATGGAGTCACAAAACGTGAGAGCCGACGAAATCACTTTTCTCGGGGTGCTCAAGGCTTGCAGCCATGCTGGACTTGCTGACGTGGCGCTGATGTATTTTTCCCGGATGAATGATCATTATGGTGTGGGGCCCAACAGCGACCACTTTGCTTGTTTGGTTGATGTGTTGAGCAGGGCGGGGAGATTACACGAGGCGTATGAAGTGTTGAGGAAAATGTCGACTAAAGCCACCGCCAAAGCTTGGGGTGCGCTTCTTGGAGCTTGTTGTACGTTCGGGGAAGTGGATTTAGCGGAGATTTCGGGTCGGGCTTTGCTTGAAATAGAACCGAATAATCCTGCTAATTACGTGTTGTTGGCGAGAATTTATGGGGGGTGGGGGCGGTACGAGGAGGCTGAAAAGGTTAGGAATGAAATGGTGAAGAGAGGGATTAATGTATCGCCCGGTAGTAGTTGGGTTGCGTAATAACGGTGACATGGAATATGAATTATTACACGATTTTTTCGCTTGTCCAAAAATCAAGACGGTTGTTTTCTGGGGAGTTAGATGCTACACCAGTGATTTACATTGGGTTGATTTGATGAATAACTAATTATCCACTAAGCACACATACACATGGGTGTGTGTGATTATGTGTAGATCTACGATTCAAATTTATCCAATATAAATAATCAGGTGTAGCATCTAATTTCCCTTATTTTCTGATCTTTTATGTATTAATTTGAAGGTGGAAATTAATTGGAGAATCAACATTATAAATGTAGTGAGCTTTACTTTCTTTGGAGGTTGCTTATTGTTCCTATATGAATAATGTTGGGATAATTACATTTGAGGTCTCTCTTGTTGACGCCATTTTCACTTTTAGTCCCTCATTTACCACGGTCAACAATTAACATTTTAATGTTAACAACTAATGACACATTTGGTCCCTCCGTCTATTTCACTTTCAACAATTAACGGTCAGCGGTTGAATTATGGCTGAATTTGGAAGGATTTTTTAGCAAAATTCAATAAAACCCCTATATTATTTTGAACTTCTAAAAAAGTCCTTTTTTTTAAAATATTTGTCAAGAATCCCCCTATTAAATGTTTTCGACCGGACACCGCCCCAATGATATTAACCCTTTGATCGGTTGTGAAAAGACATAAATACACCAAGGGTGATTTTGCAATTACAAAAGTATACGACTTTATAACTATTATTTTATTTTTGCAATATTTTTAATTAGAAAAATATAATTGGGTTTTGTAATGTCTATAATTCAATATAAACTATTCTAATCTATAGCGTATTAAAATTATTTCGTATTTTTTATCTCAATTTTTAAATAATAGCTAAATATAATTATATAATATAGTTGAATAGTCTACTTCATTAAATTGTACAAAAACCTAAACTAATTTTTTGTAGGAACAAGAACAAAAACAGAATAAGAATCATTGAAGAGTATGGGTAAACAAATTTGATTACCAAACTTCATGAAACGAAAATTATAAACAAAAATTTACAATCAAATATTAAGCACAAAAATATATAACCTACATTTTCTCTTTGACATGGCATCGCTTCAATAGCGTTATTTGTATAAACACAAACAAATATTTGTTTTTCACATGACATCGATCGTATGTGATTCACGAAATACTTTCCAACCTTTAATCAACTCCGTCCTCCAACTTCAGTGTTTTTTTCTTGAACAAAGTACAACACTGAACTCACTTTGACCTTCCAAGCATTTGCATTTGCTTCTGAAAATGCTCATTGTTTTGTTCACCAACAGAGAAGCACCAAATAATGATACAAAATAATTTTGTAAAGCCTCTTTTCACGGTATTGCTGTTGTAGGAGCATATTAGAGGCATTAAAAGTAGTGGTTGTTTTCTCTAACATGTATGCTTCAGAAATATACCCATTCACTGTTTTGAAATCTTGCAATCTCAAGTGCATCCATTCATATTGATCCTTCGGGAGAATCACACACTTTTGGTGATCATATCTCTCTTTTAAATTGTTCCATAGAGCAGCTGGATCTTTAACCCCAAGATATTATGATTTCAAACTCTCGCGGAGATGATGCGAATGAAAATCCTTGATTTTGCATAATCTTGTTTGTTTGTCAAACACCATCATTCCTAGTATTTTCAAAATTCATTGCATTCAAATGAATTTCCATATCATAATAATAAAAGATACTAGACGAAATATTTATTTAAAATAAAAGATCATTCGAATAAATATATAATCCACATACCAAGAAATATTGCACGCCCCCCTCGCGTCAACTTCATCTACATGTTCTGGGCATGCACACCCTTCCACCCTCTGCCTGGAATTGACCAAAATAAATCGAAATTATATAAATACAACGTACGTAGTGATATGTCATGAACAACAATCCATAGTTCAAACTCCGATGAGGAGTGTATACGCCTTTTTTTCTGTGTTCCTCTTTTTTTATTATTTGAGAAGAAATTATATGTATATGTAGTCTTCATCAACATAAAACAAATTTATAGACAATGTGAGCTAATTGAATTTATAGGCTCCATGGTCTGGAAACGTTTTGCTATTATTCAATGCAGTTTTAAATGTTAGACGTTACAAAATCTCTTTTAAAACTATTTTATTTTTTTATTTTACGGCTTACATTTTGCACATGTGATTAGACAATTTCAACCCGTTATAGTATGAAAATACCATAGATTTCATCTTTGTAAATGTAATTCTCAAATCTTAATTGCAAATTAGGATGCACGAAGACCGGTAAATAATTACTCTATTTTTATTGGAGAATTAGTTACATTTAAGGAAAAATACAGTTTTCATCTATTAAGTTTGTACTGATTTCACATTTGATCATCTATGTTAACAAAAACAACATTTGATCCCTCGTTTTTTAAAGAAAGATTAAATATCAAAACTTTCAGAATAATGCAATAACAAAGGAGAAAAAGCACTTCACCCCCTAAAAAAATTTCCACTTTCTCGCATTTTCCCCTCTAAAAAATAAATTAGGGATAACCCTTGCCCCTTCAAATATTGTTTTGGTTGCAATTCGCCTCAAAGATCATTTTTCAGTGGGCATCGTGCACCAAATATAACATTTTAGAGTTGCAATGTGCAGAAAAATATTTTTTTTAAAGGGCAATGTGCAATAAAAATAACATTTAAATGGGCAACGTACAATAAAAACACTCAATTCCGGTGAATAATTCATCGGAATTTTTCTATCGAGGCAATGTACAATAAGAATAATATTTTGAAGGGGTAAATTACGAAACCCCCCTTAACATAGGCTAAATAACGAAAAACAACCCTATATATCCGTAATAACCAAAATCCCACTCTGATTAACTGTTGATCGAGTTTTTTAACAGAAAATGGTGAGAAATAAAAGAAAATGCAGGAAATTGTGTAAAGTCAATTCCATGGAATAAAAAAAAATCCGTGAAAAATCACACTGTAAGGGGTTGTGTAAGACGGAAACAAACATCAGGGGATTTTAGTAATAACGATTAGGTGGGGGTGTTTTTCATAATTACTACTTTGAAGGGTGACATTCACTTTTTTTAAATTTAGAAGGGATAAAGTGAAAGTATTATAATTTTATAGGGGGTGACGTGAAATTTTCCCCCAAAAAAAAAAACCCTCTTCTCCATTGGCACTGTCAAATTAGCAATGGCAAAATTCTGAACCCCTGTGTACAAAACCTCCGTTAAATCATGTCGTCAATGGCGCTCTCAACTCTCCACTTCAAAACCCCAATAAAATTCATACCAAACATCTCCTCTCGAATTGTTCATCGGATTAACCCTTCATTTCAATTCACCTCTTCTTCGTTAGCCCCAACGGTAAACGAATTCCGGTGCACCCACAATTTTTACGGGCCGTTAAATAAATCCGTTAATGGGTTTTCAGCTAAATTCCGTGGGTTCGCTGTGAAAGCACAAAATGGAAGTGATTCCGCCGTTAATAAAACGGAGAAAGAAGACGAAGAAATGGCGGCGCGTGGGCAGAGCAGTATGCCGGAGAGGTTTAGATATTTGAGTAAAGAAGCTCCTGATAAGTCTGTTAGATGGCCTTGGCTCATTGGTATTGAATTCTGAATTTTTTATTTTGAATTTTGAATTTTTGATTTTGAATTTTTTATTTGATTGATTATGTGAATTAACTGAAGTATAGTTTCTGATTTTTATCTACATTTTGCTTTGTGTGTATGTTGAGCTACAAAAATTAATACATCCTGTGTTTATTTCCGAGATTTATGAAGAGAAGACGATCGGTTAATCGATGATCGATAATGCTAAATTGTGGTGCATGTAGTGATAGGAGCTTTCGAATAACTAATTGCAATGCTAATCGTTGTTTTCTTGTCGCGTTTATGTATGTATAATTAAAATTACTGGGATTTGCGGTGCACGAGAATGAACAAGATTCAACCTTTTTCTACTTGTAGCTAGAAATCTATGAATCTTTGTTTCTCAATTGTGAAGAGAAAATGTAACGGGAACTAGGACTACACGAGAAACGGAAAATTAGTAATGTAACAACTTTGTTTGTGTACATGCACAATAAGAATGAGAGAGATGGTCGGGAAGTGTTACGAGTTTCTAAAGTATTGATCTCGTGGGTCGATATTACGATGAAAGACGAGATTAGATCAAAGTTAGGTGGTAAAATAATGAATGACCACTCAAAATTTTTATGATTATGAATGAGTTTGTTTACTGTCCGAAAATCTTTGCTTTTTTAGTTGGAACTTCAATGTTTTTGAATTGTAAAAGCCCTCGTTTGGTTTGTACAATAAGCCATGATTAATCAATTAATTAACTATGTCTTATTTAATGTTTGGTTAAGGCAATAACCTTTTTTTTTGTAGCGGCTAACAATTATTGGCTTGTTGGGTAATTACGTATTGGGACTTCTTCTTATCTTGTTTAATTTTATCAGAGCCGATGTGCATTTCTTGATTGGTCTTATTCCGTCGTAATAGAAATAAATAAATAAGATCTATTTTATTTATATTTGCAGTGCTGGGATTCATGCTCTACGCATGGAGAACCGTCTTGTGGGAGCTTTCCAACTGGAGGAAGTCTATTTTCGCAATCGGTCGATTCTTGCAATACTTATCGAAATTCGCATTAGCCCTTTTATTCCATTTCATCGGAAATCCACTCACATCTCTAATCCATGCAATCGAGACAACACTCTACACTATCCGATCCTTCTACTCCGGCTTAATCGCATACGCTCCAATCTCCGATCTAACCCTAATCATCATGCTGACATCAGCAGTACTTGCTATCTCCGAAGCCGCAGCTCCGGACTCAGTCAACAGGCAGCCATACATACTCACAGTGGCTGGATTAATCGGCTTTTGTGCCGTTAAGAATTATATAACGGAGCTGTTTTTTTGGACATTGCTTGTGGGGTTGTTTGGTTACGGTAGTTTGGTGAAGAAACGGGATTATGTGTCTTCATCATTGCCCGTTGCTACTGTTTTGGCTGCTGTGGGTGAGCCTTGGGTTAGAGTTATTTCGATGGGCTCGTTTTTGGGGTTGGCTATTTTTCATTACTCGAGGAAAAAAATTGTGGATTCGAAAGAAGGTGAAGAGAATAATGGGGTGGTGAATAGGGTTCCGATTCCGTTGATTTGTGCTGCGCTGGCGATTGGCGTTCGAGTTGCTGCTAAATGGGCTGGTTATAGGCATTTGACATGGATGATTGCTTAAAGTGACAAATTGGAAAGGAAAAAAAAACAAGAAAAAGGTGTGTATGTTGCCATTTTGATAGAAATGTTGCGTCTTCTTGAATTCCTTGTTTTTAGTTTATCTTTCGTGTTGGCCGAGTAGATGGCGAAGGGACAATTTTGACGTAGGGAAGTCTCGTTTAGTGTGTTTTTCTGTTGGTATTGTATCTTGTTTTGAACTACGCTTGAATCGGAGAGTGGTATGGTCAATATAAATTGTGAATCGATGAAAAGACGTATACATTGTGAATCGATGAAACGGAGAGTGGTATTGTCTAACATTTTATTTTAAAAACAATTAAGATCTTTTGAATTTTTTTACCAAACATCCTTTAATAGCTTATAAGCTACGCAAGATTACTAAAATAAAGGTTTAGAAACTGAAATGGGATTGGATTTAAAATATGTTCATAAGATTTCGATTTTTGATTCGAAAATAAATTTTGAAAATTCCTATTTTTCCTTCAAATTACATTTATGATCTCAAAATTTCTAGAACTTGACTTAATGTGGAATACTAATATAACTATTTAAGTTAAGGTACAATAAAGTCGATAAATTAATACTCCATAATTCAGTAACCTAGCTTAAATAATTTTTTTTAACGGACTTGTCTCGGAGACAATGCTAATTATTTACAAGACTTAACAAGCTCTAATTCAATTATCTTTTGTTTCTTGTTGAAGTTGACTTCACCTTCAATCTCATCTATCATTTTAGTTAAACATGGTAACAACTTCCGGTGTAGTTCAACAAAAATTCAATATCATTGTTATTTTAAGAGCTTTCAGTCCAGGAACGGATTTTGTAGTAGACTCCAACTTCATCCTCTTAAAGAGTTTTCACGATACTCTTAATTATTTGCCCTCAATCAACAACTCTAAAGTTACATGGTTTTCTTAATGGTAGTTCAAGAGATATGTGATATTGATAATTCAATTTATTGATTATATTTTACATTTTTTTGGTGGTTTCGGGTTTGGTTGGGCAACTCTACTAAACACTTTGAATCACTACCATTATTGAAGTTTCGTTGTATCAAAAAAACTAGTAATTCAAAAATTCGGTACGGTACAGTACGGTAATGGTAATTACCAATTTGACATACCGAAAAAGTACAACTAATTTTAACTAATAATAGTTCATTAGCATACTATCTCCACTCTTTATATGAAATAAATTAATTATTAGAATAAAATTTTAGTAATATATTTCAGTACGGTAAGGTAATATCATTTTAATAATATTAAGTAACGTTGCCCTACCAAAAAAAATCGATACGATACGGTAATTTTCGATAAATATATTTGGGTAAAAAATCGGTTTAATTCGTTACGACAACCTGTTGGTATGGCAAAATGGTAAAAAAGTCCACCCCTGAGTTTCAACGTTTAATGGTTCGTCCATACTTTTCGAAGTCATGTTATAATTAAAATAATTTGCAATTGTATTTAGATGAACTTCTATACTCTATAGTTATTGAAATACCGTAGAACCTTGATAAATTAATAAATATTAGTTTCTTCTGGTCCCAACTCGGTAAAGACCTACTAAATTATTAATCCGATAATTTAATATTCTGCTAAATTACTAGAATTTTACTAGTCCCGACTGTATTAATTTGTAGAGGTTTAACTTTAATAATAAGAAGGGTTAAATACAAAAACACCCCTGTACTATGAACTTTGTATCATTTACCCCCCTGTACTACACATAAATACAAAAACCCCCCTCACATTGCATTTTTTCTAGAATATGACGAAAATACCCCAAGCATATATATATATATATATATATATATATATATATATATATGATATGCCTAATTGGGCCAACCCAATGGGCCTACAATTTCTTTACCTACTGGGCTACGAGCCCAATATCGAAGACCAATATCACCGAGGCCCAAACACCTTCAAATAAGGCTTGGGCCCAACAAAGCAAACCCAACCCAATAAACGACATATAAATAGAGGTTTTACTCATTTTATTAAGGTACGTCCTATTAACTGAGCAATACTATCAACTGTATTCTCTGGACTATTTCTATGATCAGCACGTCTGACTTGAGCGTCGGAGGGGTTTCCGCCGGATCAACCCCCGGCTTAGTTCATGTGTTCTATGATCGCAGGTACCTCAGGATCATCAAGTTGTCAAGCTACTGATCTGCTTTGCTCTCCCAGTTCATTTTCTACACTACCCCAGGTGATCTACTTTTTAGCATCATCATTTTGGCGCCGTCTGGGGGAACGATGCAAACCAGATCACGTAGCTAACAAGATCCTCCTGAGGCGTCTGCTCGGAGAGAAAATGACACAGCTAACGACCTCCCACCTCGTGGATGCTCTGGCTTGCCACCTCCTCCCCATCCCATGGATCCCCCTCGCGAGGTTCAGGTGATCCCCCCTCGGGACCCACCACTCGCCGATCCATCACTCCCTGCTCCTCGAATGGTTCAAATAACCGAGGATGCGCTTCAACGCATGAGAGCAGAAGCTTCAACTCGCGCTGCCACAGAGGCCGTGATCCAATATATCGCCACGATGGGAGCAAATGCTCCCAACGCGATACCAGCACCTGCTCCACATGTGGAGCCACATGTGGCACCACCGCCATCGACTCCCTGGGGGTTTACATCGCCCCCAAAATATTTTGCTCGCCAAGGGTTATCGACTCCCTGGGGGTTTAAATCGCCCCCAAAATATTTTGCTCGCCAAGGGTTATCGACTCCCTGGGGGTTTACATCGCCCCCAAAATATTTTGTTCGCCAAGGGTTATCGACTCCCTGGGGGTTTACATCGCCCCCAAAATATTTCGTTCGCCAAGGGTTATCGACTCCCTGGGGGTTCACAGTGCCCCCAAAACATTTCATTCGCCATGGGTCATCGGCTCTCTGGGGGTCTATTTACTTCTCGAACGGTTCAGATAACCGAAGAAGACCTTCAGCGTATGATCACGGAAGATTCAACTCGTGCTGCCACTGAATCAGTGGCACCATATATCGCCAAGTTTGGGCATCTCACCCAAGTGGTTCGTGATCGCCTCATCCTAAATGGGGGGCTATCCCACCCTAAAGTTGGGCATCTCATCTTAAGGGTGGTACATCCACTTACCTTTCAACCCCAAGTGGGTTCACATCACATCTCAAGAGACGAGTATAATCTCCCTACTCAAAAAATAGAACATCCCCAAGGGGGTACACATCCCATCTCAAGGAACAAGGGATAATCTCCCTACTCAAAAAATAGAACATCCCCAAGGGGGTGCACATCCCATCTCAAGGAACGAGGATAATCTCCCAACTCAAAAAATAGAACATCCCTAAGGGGGTGAATATCAACCAAATAAAAAAAACGGGGGTAAAATCGCGCACGCGAGACCCCAAAAGAAGACGAAGAAAAAAGAAACAAGAAAAAAGAAGAAGATAAAAAAAAAAAAAAAAAAAAAAAAGAAGAGAAGAAGAAAGAAGAAGAAAAAAGAGAGCAAAAGAAAAAGAAACAAAAGAAGAAAGAAAAAATATGAAGAAAAAGGAGGTGCTGCAGCCGAGCCGCGCGCGCGCGGCTCCAAAAAAAAAAAAGAAAAGAAAGAAAAAAAAAAAAAAAAAAAAGGCAGGAGGCGCGCGTGGCAGACACGCGTGACGCGCGCGCGTGCACAGCACGCGCGCTTCAGAAAAAAAAAAAGCAGAGAGAAGAGGCGCGCGTGCACCGCACGCGCGCGTGGCCGACACGCGCCTGACGCGCGCGCGTGCACAGCACGCGCGCGTCAGCAGTCCAAAAAAAAAAAAAAAAAAATTGGAGCGCGCGCTTTCCAATGAGCCCTTGGACTGCGTGCTCCCATCAAATCGCGCTTAACTTTCACCGTCCTTCACCAAATTGCGCGTAGATTTTGACTCGCTTCTCCAAATCGCACGAGAATTTCAACGCGCTCCACCAAATTGTGCGAGCTCTTTAACGCACCTACCAAATTGCGTTCGCTATCAAATAAAAAAAAAAAAAAAAATTATTTCTCCACACCATGCCAACGATTAACGCAAGACTACAACACCGATCTACTCTCGACAAGATCCGGTACCCTTTTCAACGTGGCTCCCACATCTTCTCGAGAGTGGGGGCTTGCGGGACAACTCCCACGAGGAGCCAACTCGCGCAGTAATACAACCCGCAGCGAGACAACTCCCACGAGGAGACAGCTCGCTCGGTCCTACAACCTCTTACAAGGAAACTCCCACGAGGAGCCAACTCCCTACGAAACCATAGCGAGTTAACTCCCACGAGGAGACTACTCGCTCTGTCCTATAACCCGTTGCGAGGCAACTCCCACGAGGAGCCAACTCCCTCGGGTCTCAACGCCATAGCGAGATAACTCCCACGAGGAGCAAACTCGCTCGGCCCTACACACTCGTTGCGAGACAACTCCCACGAGGAGCCAACTCGCTCGGAACTACAACCCGTAGCGAGACAACTCCCACGAGGAGATAACTCGCTCCGTCCTACAACCCGCAGAGAGACAACTCCCACGAGGAGCCAACTCCCTCGGGTCTACGAAACCATAGCGAGATAACTCCCACGAGGAGACCATTCGCTCCGTCCTATAGCCCGTTGTGGGACAACTCCCACGAGGAGCTAACCCCCTCTAGTCTCAAAACTACAGCAAGACAACTCCCACGAGGAGTCCACTCGATCAATCCTACAGCCCGTTGCGAGGCAACTCCCACGAGGAGCCAACTCGCTCGGCCCTACGAACCCACAGCGAGATAACTCCTACGAGGAGACCACTCGCTCCATCCTACGACCCGCAGCGAGGAAACTCCCACGAGGAGACAACTCGCTCGGTCCTACGAACCCACAGCGAGATAACTCCTACGAGGAGACCACTCGCTCCATCCTACGACCCGCAGCGAGGAAACTCCCACGAGGAGCCAACTCGCTCGGTCCTACGAACCCACAGCGAGATAACTCCTATGAGGAGACCACTCGCTCCATCCTACGACCCGCAGCGAGGAAACTCCCACGAGGAGCCAACTCGCTCGGTCCTATGAACCCACAACGAGATAACTCCTACGAGGAGACCACTCGCTCCATCCTATGATCCGCAGCGAGATTACTCCCACGAGGAGCCAACTCGCTCGGTACTACAACCTACAGCGAGATAACTCCCACGAGGAGACAACTCGCTCGGTACCCCAACCCGCAGCGGGACAACTCCCACGAGGAGCTAACTCGCTCGATATTACAAATTC